AACATTCCAACGCTTTATGGACGATGTCTTCCGTGGTTTGAATTTTGTTCATGTCTACATCGATGACTGTCTAATTGCGAGTCCAGATAAGGAAACTCACCTTAAACATTTGGACCTCGCATTCGAAAGACTTAAAAAACATGGCATCACAGGCAACTTACAGAAGTGTGAAATAGGAGTTGAATCACTCAGCTTCCTTGGGCATACCATTGACAACAAAGGTATACGCCCATTGAGAGATAAAGTGGCGGCTATCACAAACTATCCAGAGCCGACCACTGTGAAACATCTCCGCACTTTCAATGGCCTGGTAAGTTATTACCGAAGGTTTATCCCTAACTGTGCCTCTGTCATGAGACCACTCACAGATCTACTTCGAGGAACTGCGAAGTTCGTGTCTCTGGACAACGCGGCTAGACTTGCTTTCTCTAAAGTCAAGGAAGCCATTTCGAACGCAACCATGCTTATGCATCATGACCCCAATGCTCCTTTGAGTATTGCTGTTGATGCATCTGATTCAGCAATTGGAGCAGTTTTGCAACAGTTGACTGACAACCAGTGGCAACCGTTAGCCTTTTTCTCGAGGCGGCTGCAAGACGCGGAAACAAGATACAGTACATTTGGTAGGGAACTCCTAGCCATGTACTGTTCTGTACGCCATTTTCGACATTCTGTGGAAGGTCGTGATTTCATTATTTTCACAGACCACAAACCGTTAACCTTTTCCCTCAGCTCGGCGTCTGACAAATACTCCCCTCGTGAGTCGCGACAGCTGGATTACATTTCCCAGTTCACGTCAGACATCCGCCACATTTCTGGAGCAAACAACTCCGCAGCCGACGCACTATCTCGAATAGCTTCGATAAACTATATCGAGGGTGTTGATCTCGTTGAACTAGCTCGGCGTCAAAAGGAAGACCTTGAGCTGCATCATGAGTTGTCGTCCACAACTCTCAAACTGCGACTTTGTCCTGTTGGATCAGACAAGGATACAATTTTGTGCGATGTCTCTGCTAGTCAACCACGCCCAATAGTTCCGAAGAGTTGTCGACGCAACGTCTTCAATACGTTGCACAAACTCTCTCATCCAGGTGTACGAGCCACCATTAGGCTTATCGCACAACGTTTCTGCTGGCCTGGGATGAACAAAGACGTTAAGGAGTGGGCCCAGTCGTGCTTAGCTTGTCAAAAGTGTAAAGTCACGCGACACACGAAAAGCCCTTTAGGCTCATTTCTAGCCCCAGACATGCGTTTCGACCACGTCCATATAGATATTGTAGGACCCCTACCAGAATCTAATGGATGTACCTACCTTTTCACTTGCGTTGATCGTTTCACACGATGGCCGGAAGCAGTACCTATTAAGGATATTACTGCTGAAACAGTTGCTCGTGTTTTCGTCGAAAGATGGATCGCGAACTTCGGATGTCCATCTTACGTCACAACCGACCGTGGGCGCCAATTTGAGTGTGGATTATTTCACGCTCTAACGGCACTTTTAGGTTGCACTCGGTTCCGAACGACAGCCTACCATCCACAAGCAAATGGCATGGTAGAGCGTTTCCATCGACAGCTGAAAGCTTCCCTTTCAGCTACAAACATACCTCAGTGGACCGAGGCTCTGCCTCTAGTCCTACTAGGTATTCGTAACGCGTTGAAAGTTGATGCTGGATGCAGAACTCGTCTATGGGACCACTCTTCGCCTACCAGGTGAGTTTGTTTCCCCTTCAACTTTCAAACATGTTTCCGACAGGGCATCTTACGTGACTAGGCTTACAAACGCAATGCGTTCAGTTAGGCCTTCTCCGATTAGACCGCAAACGACTGATGTTTTCGTTCACCCCAGTTTACAGAAGACATCACACGTGTTTGTTCGCCACGACGCCGTTCGTCGACCACTTGAACCACCCTACGACGGGCCATTCAAAGTGATTAAGCGACAAGAGAAATTCTACATAATTGAGCGAGACGGACGTGAAGATACTGTCAGTATCGACCGTTTGAAACCAGCTTATTTCGAAGGCAAACCCACTATAAGTGACGCTTCAGCTCGCTACAGCCGACCGACGAATAGTTCAATTATCGAAATTCTTGACGATGCACCTGGTAATGTACAGTTGCAACAATCATCGACGCAACAGAAAACACGATCAGGTCGAACTATCAGGTTCCCAGAGTATTTAAAGTCGTATTCAACTTAGTGGTGTGAAATAAGATTTGCCAACAATATTTTTTGATACAAAAATTTCTTTCCAGGGTACCATTTTTCTTATTTGCCGGCAATGAGCAAATCCTCGTACATTTTGCCTTTTTATGTCAGTTTTTTTTACTACCATGTAATGAAACTTTAAAAAAGACGGTGGAAATAAACGTAAACTTTATTTTCGATATATTTGTATATACATAATTCCCATTTTTTTCGAAGCGTTTTCATGGCATTAAAGACTTCCATTTATATTCCAGGTGCAACGAGCACTGGACGGAACGTCAAAGAAAACTGAGGATTGCGATCGACGTACAATTCGATTTATTGTATTTTATTTTTTAATTGCCACGACACCCTAGAATAAGTTCAGACGACCAGGGGCCACTTCACGCAATGAGCCCATCGGAACAGTTTTACCAGTGGAGAAACCACTGGGTTTTTACTTCCGGCTGATGTAGTCTTAGGGTCCTCACGAACCCACTAGGGGGGGAGTGATCTGTAGCGTCACACATTTCCCCAAAATCAGTAGCCCAGGGTTTGATGACTTTCGACATTGATGCTGACCTTGATAGTTTAACTGGACTCGCTAAGCTGAAGGCACCCGGTCAAGCATCCTCGCCATTTGGCACGCTGTCGTGTTACGTTGCACTGCTCGTATTCGACTCTCTAGCCAGTTAGTTGGAACGTATCGGTATCTTGGCACAACCATCCAAATATACTATTCCATCCAACTGCGCTATCGTATTCTTCCTTGGTCTCATACTCATGGGTATATAACAAGTCCGAATAATTAGTGATTGGTCTTTGCGTCTGTCAAGTTCGCACCAGGACAAATCCTAAATACCTAATAGGTGGAAGCATTCTACACAGTACGGAGCACAATCTGAGACCACAATATTTGTTAAAGTTTAGCAATGAAAAAAAATAACGGAAATGTGAATTTCCAGCTTAAAGCCTGGAGGAAGAAAGTAACTGAGCTTATTTCTTATGAGTATATATTTGACTTCTGAAATTATGAATAATATAGGTATGGCTACCGCTCTTTTAACACTGTAACTCAAAGGTACTCAGAGGTACTTTTTCAGAGTTTCCTCTAATTTTACGTCAGATTACTTTACCTAATATAACACAGTGACATAGTATTCAGTAAAAAAGTAACTTATTACCATATCAAGCGAACTAATTTAATATATAACTGCGTTAAAAGTTAAAAGGATAATTTCTTTTTCTCTTCCCAGCTTTCTCTCTTACTTTTTGAACGCAAACTACACATATAAGAACCTTAGTTGTTCTTACTCGGTTTAAGAAAATTGACTTATTCTACTTATGATACTCTGTGCCTTGTGCCAGGAAGCTAAAACAGCAAGTATTCATTTGGACGAAGTGGATGACACATGATGACTAACTAATGTGTAGTAGGTAAATCACCCTGCAGTAGTAGTTCTGACATGTTTGAGTCAAAGAGCCTCAAATCTTCAAAGTTACTCTAAGATGTGTGCTTATACGGACTAGTATCACTAATGAACACTGAGTATTACAGAACTTCAGCAAGCGGAAAGCCGCTAAAAATCTCCGATAGTCAACTGGTTACTATCATACGTTGATGTATGTTTCCACATGACTATAATCTCTGAGAAATACTTGAATTGATGATAATAGAACCTTAAGTGTATCCGGTTCGTAATGTTCTACTCAGGAAACTGTAATTGCTGACAGATATGTTTCATAAATGATATAAATATTTGCTTGCACAATTGCATAAAGAAATCACATTTGAGTAGTATGCTTAAAAGGTGTAAAAAGAATGGACTATATCACAAAAGAGAAGTAGCTGTAAGTGCTGTAAACTATTTTTCATTTATTTCGCTACAATTCCATTTTTTCAGATCATGACATCTTAGTTAACCAACTGATGACAACCTGGACAAGATGTCGGTTGATAGTTCCACTTTCAAAAGTAGTTGTATCACAGATAGACATTAGGCAGTGTGTTGGTCAGCATCTGTATTTAACTTCATTACACACTGAATTAACATGCTCAAGTTGAAAAAAATAACTATTTTTACCAGAACTCTAATGTTTTATTACCTTATAAGAGCAGACAAATAGTGAAAATATAAGCAGTGTGTGCACTTCATGTGAATGTTAACGCTTATATTGAAGTGTAAAAACACGCTAAGCTTTTACTAGAGTTACAATATGCATAAGAATAAAATCAACTGAACTCACTGATGAACTTTTGGAAAGATTTCTGTAACCTTATCAATTGTTATAATTTTAAACTTCGACAAAGGTCTTGCGTTTCAGAATATCAAAAATATGCATAATTTGCCATACTCTGCAAATAATAAAGGTTTTCATTTATACTTAGCTTAAAACTAGTCAGTTAAACCACTAAGAATGATCAAAAATCTCGATGCAAGTAATAAATGACATCAGTATAGTTAGTTTACTGTTTGTAATTGTACTATAATAAAGATGACTTCCAATTCTCAAGTAAGATTCAGATTTCAATTCAAATTCACTCATTTCCTCTATCAGTATAAATTTGCATGAAAGCTTCACTAAGTGATTTTATAAATTAGTGAATTCGAGTGAAGAGAATCATTCAAAATTCTTACTCCATTTATTATACGGTATCTAGATTTTTGCAGGAATCAAGATTGCTCAATAATTTTGTGTGTTCAGTCCCTGTTTGTTTCGTGTTATTCTGATTTTCACAGTATTTTTTGCGAACTACTGCTACACATGATGAGTTCGAGAACTGATTATGATTGCAACTGAGGTAATTAGTATGTATAATGCACACAATTCCTTTCCGAATCATAATCAGCGTTACAGTGACAGACGTAGTGCACAAAACCTGATGAATCCTTACCAAAATTTCCGGATGTTGTTCAAACGTTACATTCCTTCTCAAAGAATGGTCCTTTCTGCATATTTACTAAAACAAGGTACACCTAATCTAGATGCCTCTACTTCTGACTCTGAATTTCGGAAACTTTTGCGTAAGCTTACAAAGAAACCAATTCATTCAGTTCTTTTGAAGCTCAGAAATATTTCAAAGAAATTTCGTTGGCATCGACATAACTGCATTTCATGCTTATCATGTTATGAAATGAGTAATAATAATTTCATTAAATTGAACTACAGCCTACGTTTACACATTGTGATCCCACAGATATTACTGACAAGTGCTATTTTTCTTGGTGTCTCTTTTCCGAATTTTTGAGAATTTCTGCTATTCTGTTTTTTTTTTAGAAAACTGTGCTAATTGTCATACACTATTCTGTTCAGTATTTTCCGATTTAACCTATGTAGTAGTCGTGTTTATAGTCTTCAATACATTTGACCAATAGGGATTTGAAACTTATACGCACTGGTGAGGAGAAATATATATACCACTTCTCCTTTTTTAGTAGAATAACTGTGAACTATAGTAAGAACGTAACGTTCAACAAGTAACTTTTATCTCTTATTAGAAATGTGTAGTTAATTTGACTGAATTTGTGTATCTCAAATTTTTATTATGTTGTCCTGCACATCATGTCCTCAATGTCTGAATTAACACCATAACAAACCACATTTATATATTAACTCGTGCACTGATTTAGTGTTTATTTTGGCTGTATGCCTGTGATGAAATTTCTCTGGTATAAATTAACAAGATTTTATTCCGTAAAGCCATTCTAGCAGCATTATTAAAGTTCAACGAGACTGTCTTATAAAGTGGTGATAAACTGTTTATTTCGGATTCCTTATATATATATATATATATATATATATATATATATATATATATATATATATATATATATATATATATATATATAAAAGTATTCATAAATTCTACTTATCTAACTAGTTTTCATCTACATGACCTATATTTAAGTTGTCAATTTTTGTTCACATGATATGCCTTATCACCACTTCCTCCCATAAAGTATTATAACACTATTACCAAAACAGTTACTTTGAAATTCTGCTGCCCACACATACACCTTTCATCCTAAACAATTTGTTAAACCCATGCATCTCTCATCAATAATCGATAAGAAACATATCTACATCTTAACTTTTCTGACAGTGATAAACATTTGGTTGGAGAAGACCATTAAATACCTGTAATTATCCCAATGAAGCCTTAAGATATTTGTTTAAATTTCAGTTTCATTTTCACTGATGCACGCATACAAGTTATTGCGCGGATACAAAAATCTGTGAATTACTGTGCTTAATAAACATTTACCTTCCTTATTTCCCTCTAAAACTAAGCTTCTTTTATTGAAAGGCACATATCTAGAACATTTGAAAATGATGTCTTCTAAAGTGAGATTTCCTCGTGATCTTTTGATTAGTAGCCAGAAATTAACTTTTTCAGTTGAACAGCTCTCTTGAAATGACAGGCATAAAACCCAACCCTGAGTAAGACAATTTTTAAAGTCAAATCTACTCCTTTATGAAATTTTTGTTGTATGTAATAATATGCGAGATCGCAATGAAAGCCTTTGATTTCAAGTTCTGATGTCACTGAATAAGAGTGGATTGTGGGATTCCCTCCTAACTGATAGGTTACAAATTAGGAAATGTCATTATACCACCCGCAACTCTCCGACGTATGATGCTGACCACTGGAAAACCATGTCAGAATACTGAAAGATATAGGAAGGAAGATTTATTGCTCCAAAAAAAGTGAAAACTAACGGAGAATATAAGTTTATACGGTTATTTTACTGAACTAATAATTACCAGGTTTGATGTAAAAAAAGTGGCATCTCACACACTGGTTAGCAACAGACTAATAAACTGTCATTAAAACAACCTCTCACTAAGGCTATTAACAGATCAGTAAAATGTGACTGACGCTACCTTTGATCACTGCTAAGAATGAAACTTTTCAATCCTAATTTTGCATGGAAAACATTTATCAGGTGTTGCAAGTTTTGCCCATCTATTGAATTAAGTATAACAGTAAAGCTTTTAACCTCATGTATGTAACGACTGAACATGAAAACCAACTGGAATTACAAACTGATTACCGCTAAAGCGTCTACATTTCATGACGTGGATTTATGCAGTTAAACTATTCCTTTTTGGCGAATATATTTTTAGAATAACTATTATATTTTACATTCTTACGGATGAGATAATCACTACATCTTTTGAAGAGTGATTAATGATTTATTTCTATACCTCTTTCTCGAATAAATCATGTTATTATTTCCCCTGTCTGGGCACAAAAGTGAAATAAACCAGAACGTATCTTTAATAACTCTAAATAACATGAAAGAAAGAAATTCTGTCTCAAAAATAATCATAAAAGAAAACATGAAAGTTATGCCTACATACTTTGGATTTAGTGGTAATAGAAGCGAATTAAAGGTTAACTTCTGTACCACCGTACTATAAACAACAAAGAACAACTTGCTACACTATCGATCAAAGAACGAAGCTTCAGTTTTATACCCATATTTTGACTAAAATAATAATCATGAGATTACTAGCTGGATTTCTTTCATAGAACTCTTAACGAATGTCATACAACCAAGGATCTGTCAATTAATTATCCCCTAACCAGAAGAGCATTCGAAACATCAATAAAAAAGCAGTTCACTCACTAATGAATGAAACTCAATCCTGTCTAAAGATAAATCAATACAAAGCAGGTCGTCGAAGTAGGTTTAGTTGAATGACACTGTAGCATGGGGGGAACCTGATAACTTATATGTGTTCTTATTTCCCCTTAATTACCTCCTTCAGCCGGAATAAAATTTAAAAAACATAGGTATTTGAAGTCCACCAAACCTACACAGGCTTGTAGGATCTGAGTTCAATGGAAAGTGAAATAGGCTCCTTATGCATTCACTTACCTGTTTTCGTTGGGTGTCAAGTAATTGACAAAAGAATATATCTCTGAGGTTTGTCCCAAAACAATCTTGCCAGAGTAGTTTGGAAAAGTCTATATACTAATGTTCATCAATGCATTTTTCGAAAAAAGAGTGTGTCAACATTCCTTATCTGTCATCCGTAAGGTATATTTGTGTTAACAAGCATTTCTGTTTCTGGTACTTTACATATAAGGTATACTCTTTCTTAAGATTTTCATAAAATAGAAAAGGTAAACAATTTTGACTACAAGATGTCAAGTACCAAATGCTTCGAGATGGATATCCTGAAGCTGTAATGAGAAGGCACAACCAGTGGGGTCAATCAGTTGGGTGAGTCCATCTAAGAAGTGCAATACTAGGACGAAACAGACGTCTAGTGTCCTTAGGTTTTTAGTAATCCCCCAACTGATTTCAGCATGTGATGAACACAACCTTAGAAAATTTGTTCTTTTCTACAACTTCAAAATTTAAAGATTCAGTTTCATGTGAAATTTGTTTACTTTATATAAAACACAGTGATACTACAATAGTTACTTGAAGGCCTACCGAGCATAATTTTTTATAGCAGGATTATTACGATAGATATTCATTGCATCACAGTGTTCAAGTTTTGCACTTATATTCACTCGGAAAGTCCTTGGAAATATGACTTTCCACCCAACACTTTAGACTACTCAACTGAAATCTCATAGACCTAGGTATATATGAAAATCCCTATCGTCTAAATAAAAAGGCTGTACAGTAATGACCATCGGTGATTACTTCAGCAGACATGTGCTTACATATAAAGTACAAGAGCGCGAGGTACCCGAACAATACAACATGAAAAACCTTTGTAAATTAATTACAATCTTCTATTTCCGCCCGTATCGAGAACTCAAAATGAAACCGAAACTGAAGCTTTATTTAGTATGGGTGAGCTAGAGGATTCGACAACTTAAGGGTTGGAATCTTTCCCTAACACTTAAATGATCTGAGTCGACTAATGTAGATATATGAATATTAAAGTGACTTGAAGAAGCGATGTTGTAAATAATTAGATCTGCAGCTAGGATTATCAGAAAGCTTGACATTAACGTAGGCTTTGCCATGTCAAAGATATCGCTAAAACTCTCAGACAACATTTTCATCCCTTGAATATCAACCTGGTTTATAAATGTATCGAATTCCTACAAAATATTTCATTCAAATTATTTAATCTACTCACAAACATTCATTTCACAGTTGTTATGAATGTCCTGGAACATTTTGGGCGCTGAGTTTGAATGAATCGTTATAAAAATATGTAATCACACAATCCCAGTGTATTTATAAAATCCACAGATTTTTCTGAACGCTTAATTGTGTGTACTACAGCTTCTTCAGAAGAATACTCCGATTTTTCAGAAGAGATTTCTTAGAAAATCGAAACGTTTTCTAAGTAATATATCACGAATATATCCAAAGAAATCAATGATAAGGGTTTTCGATATCACCACAAATGTGGAACTGTTCTTCTAACCACCTAGTCAACTTATTAGCGTGAATGAGTAGGTGAACGATATTACGTATCTCCATCAGTTGCAAACTATATGAAGTAATGCAGACAAAAATGTGACTAAGACAACATGAAAATTCTACAATATACAATAAGCAAAGCTTCAGAAAAATTCTTCAAAACATGATACTCTAATGAAAAATAATAATCAGTTAATGCCTGAACAAAGAATGGATACACAGACTACTGAGAAGCAACTAACTAGCTACAATTTAATAATAATGATCTAATACTTCATTGAATGTACACTTCGCAGGTTAGTCCTCTTCTAGTTAGCCTACCAAAAAGAAAATCTAAAGAGGTAAGTATTCGTTGAAAAATCACCCTCATCCGCAGTAAATGACCCTAAGACCTGTATATATATTCAACAGGAATTTTCTTACAAATCACAAATGCTTCCTTTCCTCAGGGGTCGATGAAGTCACCTACCCACCTGATGACACGTTCAAGATTGCAAATTAAACCCTTAAAATATCAAACAATCTTGATTACCACAGTCCTTTTATTTTCTAAAGATCTAAATGTCATCTTGATTGGGTTAAATTACCTACTGTTTTGAGAAAGTGATGTCATTTCAAGAAGCTAATAATGTAGATTATTTTCGAACTTGTTTTAACTAATTAATTATCTACAAAGTGTTGCCTTTTCTAATTCATTCCTAAATTAATTACAGCTGTTCAAGTAATTATATTGACCATAGTCCATACTTATCTACCTCAAACCTCTAAAGTAAGAAAGTGAGCCATTCCACAGATACGAAAATGATAAAACAAGAGTAATCATTCTAAAAGCTGCCTTCTATTTGCTTAGTTGAATAAAAGCATCCTTTTTTGTGTTCTAAATAAGGCCATCTATTTTCAATTTGTTCAACTATATCTGGTAAGTAAAGACTGCGAGACAACTGAACACTTGAATGACGTTGTTTTGATAAACTCTCTTCAGTCTTGGATAATTCTTTAGCTATCAAGGGCTGAAAGGAATATGTTTGTCGTTGACTTTTAATAGGTCCACCGGAAGTTGTTAAACCAGCAGCTGGTAACTGATCAGATAAATGATGACTTTTCATAAAATCAGTAAAATTCATCCGGTAACTCGAAGTTGAAGTCGGACTTGCCTCCAAGATTTCATATGGTGGCCTTAAGACCTTTGAAAAAAAGTAGAAAAGTACAACATACAGCTTTTCGGCAAAATGATAAACTTAATATGCATGTCTTAACATACACTGAACTATTTAAACAAATTAAGAACCTCTTTTTCTGAGCTGAATATTTCATAATATTAGTTTATGGAGACAAGACAGTAAAAATCCACCTTCTGTATTTTAAACTCCGGCTTCAATGACTGCAGTATTTTACTTACTTATCAGGAAATATGTGCTAATTTTGTGTTATTATAGCGAAGATTCTCATCATGACATTTTGACAAGTTAGATGTAAAAATGAATCTACTAGTGTTTCCATAATTTATCTACTGTTTTGATAGCCCAAGTTTGCACAAAATTAACTTGATTATTCAGAGAAATCTTTCGTCTAACAGATTTTCGGAAGATAATATAACTATTAAATTAATTGGCCTGTTTGTTATACAAAATATTTAGCATCGTTAACGCTAGTTTATTAGGCAAGATCATAGCATATGTCGACATAAGAACAAGTCAAAATTCCAAAGTATTCAGGTAAAATCTGAAAGTAGAGAGATTCATATCTCTTAGTGACAATTGAACTCATCCTTCTCTAGTGCTTGTATGAACCGAAAATTCTTTTCTGATAGTTTTTACAGCTGTATAACCAGACACTTACCGTGTTAGTTTTATCTACATTTTTCCATAATAGCTGGGATTCACAATGCCTTCATGTATAAAAAAGCAAAGTATTTACCAAACGGAACACAATTCATTTTCATATTTTTGTACTTTGAAAAGTTATAAATGGCAATGAGTGTGACAAGCATAGAAGTGACAAACTTTTCAAGGTTACCTAGAATGAATACTTGCAAGAAAGTTATACTGTTCCTCTTACTCAGTAGCCCAATCTACCATATCATCAGGATAGAGTGTTTACAGAAACAGTTAAGCATGTTATAATGCCTTCTATTTACAGCTTTCTGTCATTATCATTTAAAAATCTGGTCTGGTAAAAATAATTGTTTTATCAGTTGACATATACATTTATGTTGAATATCTTTAGTGTCATCTGACAGTGAGACAGGTATTCCACTGCAAGATCAAGTGACATTAAACCTTAAATTTACCTTTCCTAAAACAGTAAGTTAGAAATGCAAAGAATAAGCTTTAGTCACTTGATGAAACCATTGTAATCTTTGAAATTAAGTTAATTCTAACACCAGATTAAAATAAAAGTCAGTCACACCTGCTTGCAATCATCTTTGGGTAAAACGCTCTAAAAGCAAAATACGGTGCTAAGAACACAGATCTATGGCATTATTCTATTTTTTTGAAGAAGTTAACTTTCTGAAAAGTTCACACTTTATATACATTGCTGATGTTTTAATCACTGCTCAACCTAATTTGACAGTGACCCACTTGAACTGATTAACTGATTTCTTATATTCAGCGCATGATGAGTCTGAGCAACAGTAATTTGTAGGGAGTTGGAAACATCGCGATGTCACAATGAGTAAAGATTTGTTAAAAACAGAAGTACCTTATGCAGTTTAGAAGAGGTGAAATGAAGAATTTGTAAATTCGTCTTTTCCAAAATTTACACCAACATATTAAAACTAGTGACATGAGGAGTGAAAAGACTTTTGTTTACATGTCCTACTTTTTCCAGCCAATCATCGGTCACAGTAAGATTGGGACAAATAACTCTCATCTGTTAAAATATGAAGATATCCAACAACTTTCTCCACAACTGTTGTCGGAGAGGTACCACTTGGCCTTGGGACCACGACCTTGAATCGAATAAACATGTTTTTTTTATTAGTGAGACCTTGAAGTTAGTGTCCTAGATAAATGTTCATAAGTATGAAAACGGTTAATTATTTACACCTGGAAGAGTTGACAACGATACAGCTTTGACATCGAAGATTCCCTCTCTAAATAATATGTTTCTTGTTTCACTTATCCCTTTTATCTGATGGTATATTTAAGAGAAGGAGCTTGCTAACCTAATTAGCCAAAGTCCTAAAACTCAAATCTTAGATAAGCGTAACGCAAACATGTCTGGACAGTAAAAAAAGTAACCTCTGGCTACATTTCGTCCTAACTTAGATACATGAAAGGATAGGTAAAATACTGAAAGTGAATTACAACCCTTCATCGTTGTTCGATTATGCAAACTCCCTCACAGTTACTTGTAAAAAAAGTAAGGGGTAATCTCCGGCGAAATTCGTTCAGTATATATTTTTTTGATGTAGCACATAGTGATATGATAATAACCAATGAATTCCGCACGAAACTTCATCTAATAAATAATACTGTATCCCTGCGTATAATATCAAATAAACAATCAAATATTGAATTATATGCCATCACACTATCCAGGTTTTAATCTATAGTTCATTTAATTTAGTCTAAATCAACAAGCCTGTGACTATGGCCACAATGATGTTCACTGAGGATGAGAGCGAATACCACGTAGTTACCGACAGCTTCAAAGGCATGAACAAGTGAATCCTTTCTACTGCGAAACATGCCCATTGAGTCATAGAGAGGAGATAATTCAGCGAAGAAAATTTTCTTTTTCGACGATATCATTTTCTAAAGATGTACCATCATATTTATATATATCATAAATATATAACAGTCTACTATAAAACAATAGGGTATAATTACATCACTAACCTAGTGCTAAGAAACCGAAATCAAGAAAGCAAAGTAGTTGCATAATGAATTAAGACAGTAGAAATATCGAAGAAGGCGAGGAATTTGACAAAGTGAAAACTGTTGGTAGATAAGAAACGCAAATATTGAGTGTCTACTTGATAGATAGGTGTAAAGAAGGTGAAGAATGAGACGAAGGTCATAATGAAGGTGATAATAATAAACTAATTAATTATAGTGAAATTGAAAAATTGAAAGTGTTAAGACCATGATAAGATGAGAGACTGAACATACTTCTTTTGCCCGCAGAGATCAGGCTTGAATTGATGAATTGCCAGTGCCTCCGCTGTGCTCAACTGTCGAAGGCGTACTCCTTTTGAACTGTTCCATCTGACAAGATAAATGACACTGAAGGAGGATCCTGGTCTAGCTTTAGGTCCAGAGTTGACCAAATGATCAAGAATTGAACTGTTAACTGATTTACATTCTGCTCTCGACAACCATTCAGGATAATGCTCCGAGATACGTTTGGAAAGTTTGCGCTTTGTGTGGCCTATATAACTGGCTTCATAGGAGCAAATAAATTTTTTAGACACACATCGAGGTGTCCCAAAGTGGCAACTTATCCTTAACGCACCCCGGGATGAGTTGTTGACTAGAGAAGCTGATCTGCAGTTTTGCAGATAAGAATGTCTTCTTCAGTGATCTGGACAGCGGATTCTTCAGGATCTCTGATGCTTCATCGCCTTGAAAACAACGTGCATAAACAAGGTCTTCTTAGGAGCTGTGATGTAATTATACCCTATTATTTTATAATAGACTGTTATGTTTATGATATATACAAATACGATTGTACAGCTTTAGAAAATGATATTGTCGAAGAAGAAAATTTTCTCCGCTGAATTATCTCTTCTCTATGAATCCTTTCTTTACGATGAAACGATTTTTTCAAATGCCTGTTAACCTATTTACCACTAATCGTCTCTAAACATTAGGAGAACAATCAATGAAAATAGAATTCATTGTCTCAAATTATTGCTGAAAAGTGTTCTCAAAAGATAGTTAGTTTCACTTCAGCTGGCCGAATTTTTATTGTATTTTGGTGGGACTATTTGCACATCAAAACTAGAAAAAGATAAGATACTGAAACATGGATATAAACAAATCGCAATTACCTTGAATCAGAATTTAATTTCAAAGCAGACAGAGTAAAACTCAAAAGATAACCCAATCCAAGCATAATCATTGTGGATACAAGTGTTGAAAAAGTTCACTTTTCATGGTTACTGAATACAAATAAGTTTTGAAACCACTGTTACAAAAGATGTTTCAGTTTCTGTTCAGCCATTTCGGTACATGTCAATCTCTGCAGTGTATGATACCAACGATGCACGTTGGCTGGTTAGTTCAGAGTAGCCAATTTCATACTGTCTAGTCCCATGTTTTGACCGAATTCCATCGATAATTTTGTAATGCGCTCATTAGGCTAGGAGACTGGGCATCACCATTCACTTTCATTGATGTTAGGTGGTTGTAGGTAATCACGAGGAAGCCTGGTGACTACCATAGAATTATATCAGCATTCAGGACTAAACGATATGAAATTAATTATTCTCCAGCGGCCGGTCAATATACGTAATCCAGTCTTACAGAAAGTCAGTTGTGGTCCAAATAGCTCATTGACGTCTCTGTTTGCAGCACTAATTAACACAGGTTTGAATCTCTGAAGCGAAATCAATTTCTTTTAAGGACACTGATATATCTTGCCTGAATAGTATCAACAACAGGTCTTCCTTCCAACTTCGTCCAACTTTTTAGTGCTAGTAACGTCAATTGATTTATTTAGCTACATCCCTGTATTCATAGTGAAACACTAAATCTTAATATATAACTGGTAAGATCAGCACAAAACTGATGATTTACAGATAGCCAATCTGCAGAAAATAGTAAAAATATTGTTTGGGTTGAATTACTTACAACTCTCCAAAATTTGTATTCCAGCCAAGTGTCGAATTTCTCAGCATTCTCAGTCACTGCTAACTCAAATATTTGTCCCCTGAATTACCTTTTTCTTAATGAGTTTTCTGCATGTTCTATCGTTATAAATTGGAACCGTTTAATATCGTACATGCCCACTTTGTGGCAAGTATATTTTCTGAATGAGACATGAAAGTGGAATTGCTCAAGTCGGGCTCTGAATAACCAAGCGTTTATCGGCTTTGCTTGGCAAAGGTGAAATCGGAGTGATAACGGCTATATACTGGCATACCTGGTGTTCATGGAGGAACGTGATCCTAACATGGCACGTAGGCAGGCAAATCAATATAGAACCTGGCACAGAAATGCATAGGTTCAAGCTACTGCGTCACACAGAAGTATGAAGAAAACAAGTGAACAACGACAGAGTGATACCAAAATAGACACAAGTACATTAGTGGAGAGAGAATTAAAATCGGTGGTCAGTGAAAATATTCAAAATCTCGAAAGTATCAAAAAGTAAATACATCTGTGCTATCGTGGTCAGTTTCCACCCACATAACCAAGAGTTTTCAACCACTGATTCCTAACATCTCCAAGACTCCAGCAACGCAGTTTACACCTGCATACACGTCTCAGTCCGATAGTTAAAGCCTTCACAGACATGATATATCTTGGTCCGGCTACTCTGAGCCTTCTTCCTACCAAGTCCTATTTCAGCTACATTGCATATTTACGTAGGCGATGACTCATCGTGTGCAACTCATGTAGAAGTTATCTCAGTCACTAAGGAATCATAGTTTCATCGACTCAATTACCTTTCTCGTCAAGCATCGTTTCCCTAACATCAACATTGTCTATACGGTAATTCCACTACACATTAGCAGTGCTATGTAAACACCTGTCAAAAAAACCTGCAATCACTTCAGATATTCTACTTTTGGTGTCCATGAATCACAGCCATACAAGAGTAGGAAGTGCACTGCTGTGCAGTTTCTCCATCCTCTTATCGGTAATCGTACATCTCACCTGTGTCAAAGATGGCGTTATTTGGCAATTTCAAAATGGGTCTTCTGTATTAGAGCTCATAGTTAGCCAATAACATATTCGCGTTGAGGCTACTTCCATGTAGGCAAAGTGCTCAATGCATTCAGTCACATTACTGCTTATCCTTAAATTAGGAGTCATTGTAGACCAGTCTACAAGCATTATTTTACTTCTGACAGGTGCAAAAGACATGCCAAATATACTGATTTTTGTGTGCAAGGCATGCAGAAGTGTCTGCACTTTGTCCAGTGTTTTTGCCTAGCAGAACTATCTACCATAGGTCTTTACTGTAATATACCTTGTTTCGAAAACACTAGTATTACGCTACAACGTATAACTCTCCTATATTTTCTCCATATAGCCAAACCTTTAATAAAAATGTACATTGAACAGAAACTCTTTGTCCACAAGAATAAGTGAGTGCGTCATCACTCCCTTATTCCTCCATAAACGAAATGCTTTTTCTTTTATCTGTGAACTTTCTACTATTCTGATATAATTTCAGTCTAAAGTTTCTTCCTTTCTTCTCTTTTTTTTCTAGGAAATCTTCATATTTTGTCCTTTTACTGTTTTTTTGTCTTCAGACTTCTGCAAAGCTTATCATATATGACTACCTGTTCACTATTAATGCAGCCTGTTAATAATAAAATCTCAGGCATGACTCCATTTCAACTATTTTACACATCGGTCATTTTATAATCAGCTGTACATTCCTGTGCTTTTATCTTATACCTCATTTATGTTATTTTTTCCGTTGCACTGAATGTCTACAAAAAAAAGCTATGACCCTGAACTACATCATTATTAGTTTTTTCTCCACTTTCCATACATTTCCCACGATCATTCATCATTCCTCTAACACTATGTATTACACACCTGATATGCACATATAAATCATCAGAAACTGGCAACTTTAGGATGGATCTGTTTACACTACTTCTTACACTTCAACTTTCAAATATGCATTTACCATTGAATCACCATGTGTTGTGGTGAACAGCTCTATTTTGCAACTGGAAGTAATTCTTTAAAAAGAATTGGATAGTTTATGCTTTCTTCTAATTTATGAAATAATACTCGAGTGTTTGACTTACCTTACACTACACACCAGCGAGCTTATGAATATAACTACTATTACAACTGTATCATTTTGAGAAGTCATTCACACTTGGTGGGAATGTAGCACAAAGAAAGAGGAGAACAATGCGGATTATCACATTTAAAATTCACCCCTTGATTAGCACTCTGACATCTCACCAGAGATGGTGTTGAAATAGATAATAAAATGATACTGAATACTTTGGAAATCGTGAGATATATTTCGTAGATGCATCAAACTAGCCAGCTGCCGTTAAATAAATAACCATACTTGTCTGTGACATGCACAACTCAAAACATCGAGGTTATGGTTAGGAGGCTTATGACCGGATTCAACACAGTGTGGATTCTGAAACCTTCAAAGTGAAGCTTGAAGTGAAGTTTAGGAAGAATAAATACAGAATTTCGTTAGGTAAGAAAATCTGTGACAGATACGGAGGAATAAGAATTCAAGGAAAGTTTGGGGAGCATAGTTCGGTATACAGAATAGATAACAAATATACTGAAATCAACAAAAATGAAAAGAATTAGTTATAATCAGGAAATTTATAAATACGATCGGAAGCATGTAAGTGACGTGTAATTTTTATCTTCAAGCACCATGGGAGTTTATTCCTGTTTTGCATAATGTGAATAGAACAAGGGTTTAGTGACATGTTTTAAATCGGTCGTTTACTGCTCTTATGTAATGAACAATTTTGTTAATTTGGCAAAGGAGTAGAATAAAGTGTAAAGTTCTTTTCTCGGTATGAACCTCTTTCAAGTTCTCATTCTGGTATTTAGAAGGTAATACATTTGAAAGTTCGGCTGTCCTAAAAGATACAACTTAATCTTTTCACACTATAGTCAAAAACATGACTTTGCGATCAAAGCGGTAACAAAGCTAAACATCTTCAAAGCAAAAAGGTGACTGCTTTTAGGTTTTACAGCCCTCCTACTGCATTAAGGCAGCAGCTATAGATAGGTCGTAATTTCACATGCTTTTGCTGTAGAGAAACTTAAGAACTTTATTCTTTGTGAATTCAAAGAAACAGTACCAGATTAGGAAATGTCGATGCTATCATAAAGTACTACTGAGTAACTTCAGTAGTTAAAAGTCACTCAGTTCAATTATTTATCCCATTCAATGTTTTCGTATTGTTTCGTTTAAAGACTCTTCAGTTCTGTCAGTCTCTCCGTTCGGTGTTATTTTTAGGATGGAATCCAACCCACCAGATATCACATTGAGTCGCTTTCTTTGCTCTGTTAAAGTTCTAAAAGCTCGCTTAGTAAATATGAAATTATAATACAAGTCACGAATTTTCTCCCTTACCAGTCCGAGATTTAGTTTCCACACCTTAATTCTAGAGGATAGATATCAATACTTTGTCTGCTTAAAGCCGTTGAAGTCATAAACAACGTTCAGCATAATAAAGCACAAGGTTCCCGAGAATTAATTTTGGTCATAAAATTTCCGTATGCACTATCCTAAGCTGGTACAATAATCTTTGATGAGACTGAAATCAATGTAAGTTTCTAAGATCAGTTTCAGTTCTAAATTACTTCAACTCATGTGTAAGTTTCAGACCAAACATACAAGACTGACATGTGCAGATAACAGTCACTCCCATGGTAATTTTTACTTTCAAGGTGACAAGTAAGGGAGGACACACAATCTGAAAAAAGCCATATATCAAGATTTACAGACATTAGTTTAATGATTATTTAGAAGAGCTCTGACCTAACCTAATCATTTTATTGCATGCAGTTGAAAATGTAAACATGAAGTAACCGAAAATATACACCACTTTACAAGTATTAGTTTGGCCTTCAACTGGTATTTTGTTTACTCAGTTATTCACATCACTAACTGAAAATTGAAGTTAGATTGCTTAAAAACAGACTTAAAACTAGCAGAATATGAAACTCCTTAAATATCTTATTTTTGAATCAGTAGAAGTTTACGATTTATTTCGAAAATACCTAAATAAAAGTGAATTATTGTATTTATGCATCGTACTGCGACTTGAATAACGCTATTCAATAAAGAGTAGTCGTTTACATAGATGAATAACCTCTTTAAAAGAGAGAAAACTTATTAAAGTAAATAAAAAGCTCCAGAAAATACTTATTTCATGAAAAGTATCAATCAGCGTCATAACCCTACTTAGTATAGTTTCATTTTCTAAGTAGAAGCAAAGTAATACTTCTTTGCCTAATAGTAAACTAGAAGTGAATATCCTTGAAAACCTTTCTTGTTAGTTTTATTGTATTCAAAAAGCAGACCAAGTTAAAAGTGATCGCATATTATAATGTTGTTTAGTTCTACAAAGTCAGGTATTTCGAAAACAAAAATTTAATGAGTAATCATGTCATAGACTTAAATAATCCGCAACAATGCTAAAAACTTCAGAACAGTCAATGTCAAGTTCTTTATTTAACGTATTCATTATCACACGAAAAATGAAGAGTGCATGCATCCTCTCTAATGCAAAAAGTCAAACAGTGAGCAGTTGGTGTGAACAATTCGGCTCTGCGAGCTGAATGTATACGAATACACCACTGATGAGCCCAACCTAAAACTAGTGAAAAGTTCATCCGGTGTTTGGATCCCTTTGGTCTGGCTACAAAAATCTACAGGTCACCATGAGTGGTTTCTAACTGCTCAATTTGTTCAGAAGTATATTTCAAACAATAAGCCATTTACTACAGAAAACAGAAATACTGAATTCTATTTTTCAACGTTATCTTGGTTTATAGTACTAAGAGGTCTAAAAGTAGCGTGAAAAACTATTTCACCGTCACATCGCTTTGGTTGCTGCCCTAACCGATTAGATTTCTTCATTCAAAGTAATTTGCAGTTGATTATATCTCCCAACATAATAAGTAAAATACTGATTTTCATACAAATGCAAATTTTATAATTGTACTTACCTTTGACATTTTTATTGTAGGTGCTATTTTTCTGCACATAACTGGTTCTTTGTTCATCAAAACGTATCTTTGAAAGTCTTCTTTGTATGTAGTATTTTTAAGCATATCTTTATTTGCGACGAAATTCCCCATAGTTTCGGCACTTGACTTATGCACAGGCCGTGAAGGAATCATCTCCAGAGGCAGACGAACCTTAAAATACTTGGGACGTTTGTTATCCACTACAAATGGCTTCGGTGTATATTCATGAGTGTAAACAGATGTGTCAGAGAATTTCTCCAAAGTTTTCAAGGGTGTATGGACTGGTTTCACTGGCTGGACATGATCTACATGAAAAAGATTAAATAATGAATCCTGCTAATTGATTCAATATTGTGCATGTAACTAGATTCAATTCCAGATAGCCAATCTGTTGGCGTAAATGAATAGGAAATAATTCTTGCAACAAACTAATTTAAGCGAAACGTGAAAAAACAGAAACCAGCATATCCTAGTATTAAAGAGCTGAATACTTCGCATAAATGATATCTCGTGTCACATTTCTAAGCTAGAATTCCTACACGAACAAGGTGGATGTAAGAAACTGTTCAGCTGAAACACTTGTTTTTCAGATAAGTTCACAACAATAAAATAAAAAGAAGCTAACGTTTTATGAAGTTGATTGTCACTGCAACAGAACGCAGTTCACAGATCCCAAGAAAAGTACCGGTTCGAAGTCTTCAGTGCCAATGATTATCAAAATATCTTCATCTGAAAGTGTTTATCAATACAACAAAAAACAAAACAGTCACCTCAAAAGACTTAGTGCATTGCTTCACCTTACTTCTAGGAAACTTCAGAGATAGCCGATTACTTCTTTCACTTAAAATCATAGGGGCATGTACAGCAAAGTAACCACTGCAGAATACCCTATGTCCAAGTTTACTAACTTAAAAAATAATTGATACAATTGACGAGAACGTTTAAAAAAACTGTCTACAAAAACAGGCTTACTAGTTCATTCACTGGGCCATCAAGAGAGTTCATGAACATCAGGTAGTAGTTAGACCGTACAACGTGTTATATTTAGGTTCATTTCAGATAGGTAGTAGTAAACACGACTGATTTCAAGAAATTGAAATTTTTACTACACGAGAACTCACAAATGTTACTGAGGATTGTAGGAGCCTAGCATTCATATTTAAAAACTGCTACCAGAATTTCTTACCAAGCCGATCCACTTAGATTTTAATTAAAAGACGTCAACAGTTCCTTGAGTACAATGATCTGAAATTTTAGCGGTAATAAAACCAAGACTTATCATACTGATTATAATGTTCCTGATAGGAAATATTTCTGTTTTAGTCTGTTTCTTGAATGCGGATCGAGTAAATAATAATGTCTCACGTCTAGTAAACTGACCAGAATGAAATTACAGTCTACCACAGTGCCCAAGTTGTGCTCCTGTATCAATAAGACGAATGGTCTACTCGCTAGAAGATAGAACAACAAACTCACAAAATTTTCACAGAAAACATTTTCCTGTGAATGCAATCAAAACTGCATAGTTTACGTTTCGTTAGTTTACCACTCAGTCGTCTTCCGCAATATTAAACGTCTGTTACAGTAAAATATCTTCATTATACGTTTCAGATATCTAAAAAGGTAATTACGTATGGCTTTTCTGTATACTTTGTGTGACGGTCCGTATTTCTGTTGAAGTAGAGACTTGCCAACCAAATAACTTCAAAAGCTTGATATATAAGTAGGTGGGCAATGACGTCCGTTTGTCGTGTCAGCGGAAAATATCCTACTCATTCTCATACACTAATGTGCCTATGGAAAAACAGAATACTCATCCTCATAGCACGCAACTTGCTCCGATTCACGTCACAACTAACATACGAAGCGAAACGTAATAATAATTTTATTTGAAGATAATATTCTTCGCGGACTGAAACCAGTTACAGAGCATTCGAAAACTCAAAAGCACTGGATAGCTGTCTCGTCCTAAATTACGACTCTTCAGTAGTCCACAACCACGATCTTGCAAAGAATCGAGTATGTGACTGTCATGTCTGACTGTGATCACTCTGTCATTCAACCACTGGGTTGGAATCTAATATCCGACATTTTTCTATTTCTGTCACTTCATGATGGGGTGTAATACCTAAAGAATGCCTTCAAGGAATTTTTATCCTCTCAAACGTGAAATCTCGTCGATGATCTCCAATCTTTCATGTTTGCTCTTAAAAGCTTGACAATCAGGCTAAGCGACTTCTACAGCACTTATCTCGAGATTTTCTTGCCTGGCAACTCACCCAGTATTACGATGGAATATAGCTGAGCGAAAATGTCACTATATTCAAAAGTCTTCAACTTTATATTTTGCAACATACCTGAAGCTAAATCGTCCTAAAGCATTGCCTGATACTTAGCTGGTTCAATAAGGCACTTAAAATCTCCAGGTCTTTCTGTCAATGTCTACATAACTGCGCATGTTTTTTAAGTTTTCATGAAAAACGCTAGTAAAATTTGTGTGCACCAAGTCAGTTATATGGTTTACTTGCAGGTGTAAAAGATTACACGTGCAGCAAAGATAGGCTAGAATAATTTATGTGGAATATTTTCGTCTATCAAATCAGTATGGCAGATCCTTATTTCAACTGATTCACCCATGCTGCTGATTTTAACCACCCACCCATTCACTTTCTGAGAACATTACGTTTACAGATACCTTTTCCTGGATAATCATCACTATCCTCACCTCCCTCAATGCTTGTTTCTATATTTCGGACTGATTTTTACGTTAAAGCTAACTGTAGTTATTTGACTGACTTGTTTGTTAACTGATTGCAGTTACGGAAGACTTTTTCGCTTATCATTCTTTGTTGTGGTCTCTATTGTTGGTTATTATTTTCAATATTTTCCCCCATGAAGAGGTTACAGTTAAAGATTGATCCGTACAGAAATTCCTCTTTATGAATTTGGAAAGAGATTGTTCTATTAATATGTCAGATGTTTTTATCATTAGCGAAGTATTTGTTATCTGTTTCATTAAACTGAATGCGATAATATTACCACTGGATTGCTAGTAAGTTGCCAACAGCAACTAAACTTAGGGTATATGTCTAATGTACTTTTCAGGTTAAACGGCGTTATTTACTGTTAGAAAAGGTGGATCGTCATGAGATTTTACTGAATCCTGTCTCAGCTGAAGTTTTTATGGCAGGTATTTTTAATGATTTACTGTTATAAGTAATCACTAAACCCTGTCTGAGCGAAAAGTATACACAGGATATTTTTATCATTTACAGTGAAGACTGTTCGATGGAACTTCTAAGGCTATGTAATCATCGCCGTCTACCTGCAAATATCAGGACTGAAAAGGAATAGATTTCATAATTTCAATTCTTAAGTGTAATGCCGAAGATTGGAGAAGGTGTTTTTTCTGTACAGGTTCATCTTTATCAGACAGTCCATTACCTCTATCAGTGTGAGTTATTGGTAGAAAAAGAAACGTCAAACATTCACTTTTTTCCACAATTACGAAAATTTGCTTAAAAGATACCGCTGATGGGAAACCTTATCGTATTCGAGTAATGAATCCACAAATTGGTAGAATTATTTGAAAAATTGTCTACTTAAATGCATTACCAGTCATTTTATTTTGCTGTCTTTCGCTCTATGTTATCCGGCTCAAATCTGGTTGTAAAATGTATGAAAGAAGTCTTACCGCTTACATTCATTTTAATGTGCATTTACCGTTTCAAACGCTTAAGTAAATCTGGCTAAATAGGCCCTGTGGAGATCCCTATGAAGCACCTTTCAGCTTGAGGACAAATAATCTCTAGTGACATTCAATGGCGAATACGCTTCATCACGAAGTGACAGAAATAAGAAAATGTGAGATATTGGATTCCAACCCAGCTACTGAATGGTAAAGTGATCATAATCAGGCCTGACGATCTCGCGGCCGATTCTTTGCGAGATCGTGGGTGTGCGTTACTGAAGAGTCGTGAATTAGGGTGAGTCAGCTGTCCAGTGTTCCTGAGATTACGAATATTCTGTAACTGATTTCGATCCGTGAACGTTACTGCCTGCAAAGCACGAATCCTCAAAAACCATGATTAAGTTATTGGAAGGTGAAGTAAGTAGAATAACGTCTTCCATCTGCAACTACAACATGAATGCATGTCGTTCACCTCTCAGCTACTTATCTTCTGAACTTGTTTGCAGAGCTAAATAGGTCTGTCTTAGAGGATTAGGTTTTCGATATCCATGTGTAACTGAAGGACTAGATATATTTGAAATAAAATCTTATCCCTGCGTCTAATGACATATTAGAAAACCCCTTTCAGTCCACTAACTTCCATTCAAGTTAGGGTTGTTCCACTGATAAACTTGTCATCATTATAAGTTCTTCTCTACCATAATGTCCCCTTACAACCTGTATTACGTGTAAAACGTAGACGCCTTAGTATGACTGTCTGACATTTCCCGACCATGTATACTACAGTACAGTTGAACGTTGTGTGACAGAAATATTTATTTTCTTTAAAATTTCTTTTCGTGGTCATGAATTAAGGGATATATCTCGTCAATAAAACTTCTGAATAATCCCTTATGATTTTGCATTAGACTTTTGCGGTCTTCCGCGTTGCTTTTAGTGAGGTCTAGATATCTACAGCTTGGGCTGGACAGTTTATGTTTAGTTTTTATATTGAGTGACTCTAAGATTTGCCAAGTTGTACTTTCTGAATTAGTGTCACAAATTTTTCTTATTTTCTTCATTCTTTCGGGAAATAATCGAAAATAATCTTTCTTAGGCTGTTTTATCTCGAAAAGACATTTTTAAGCATCTTATCAATGAAACTGTTTACTACATTTAATCTCCTTTCTAACGAAGATAAACAGACCACCTGCCTAAGTAACTTATTTTCCCATGAGATTGGTTCTCATACTACATGACGTCATTTCATTGTGTAAACCAACTCACTTTTTATAACAATCAATATTTCCAAGGTTGCATTCTTCATGGACTGAAATCAGTCGGAATACCATTGAAAGTAGTATTTCATCACACTATCTTTTATTATCTAAAAATTACTCTCATTTTCTCACTTAAGATCTTATCCTTCCCAGTAAATTTGCCGATAAAAAGTCCTCATGACATTTTATTTAACGCCAAATGGTCATCTTGATTAGCTTTGATTTAACAACAGTAGTGTTTTCTTTTCCTTTAGCGAAAACCTAACCTTTATATCCGCTCTTCATGTGTTAGTTGGTTGGAGGAAATCGGCAGGAAGCCTTCCACTTTGTCTTCATGCTTGTTGGCACTCCTGAG